TATATGTTGCGTACATACACATCAGTTTCAAATATTGGACATATATGCATGGATCACACATGTATATCTGAAACATGGTTGAATAGATCCCAGTACAGTTAAAATTGTCGCTTTGTTATCTTTTTGCTTTTAAATATTAATGTATGTAAATGTGTCAGATCAATATTTGCATTCCTGTCTGTTTTTATGATTTTTGTTGCACAGCTTACAATGTGCATGTTTTCAGAGTTTAGTTATGCAGCTATTTTGCTCATTTTCACTTCATTAGGATGTATGTAGAAGAAATAAAGATGCATATATATTCCTAACTAATATGAATAATGTTTTCTACCATATATTGTGAAATATGTGTTACACATATAGGTTAATATGTTAATATATATATGTTAATATAGGGCTGCAATATATGTGCCATGTTTGAAAATGGCCAATTTCAAATAGGTTTGCATTTATGCCACATATATGTCCATATGTGAGTATTATAAGTCAGAAATAATGAATAAGGGAAACATTCATAAACTGCCATGTATCAGATTTCTGTATTGGCAGTCACGTCCTTATCAAATTCCACAAAGTGGAATTTACTATATATTCTCACAAATATAAGCAAATCTAACATATTTTACAGTCCTGTTCAAATATAAAATGAACGTTTCAATGAATTTGTGGCCAAATAGCCAAAAAATGATTTTGGTATTTGAATGCTGGCACCTTGAACGGTTAACGGAAGTCAAGCACCTAGCTACACAGCTTCATAGGTCTAGTGCAGACATAGAGAAGCAAATTTTAGACACCAAATATGTCTTTAAACAACTACATTTGGAAAAACGGTGCCAATTTGAACTATTTAACTCGATTAATGCAGACTAACCGACATGTACATATTCTAAACAGTGATAAACGATAACTTTATAGAAAAGTCACATTTTACAAGTGAAGTGTGCAAAACCCACTTCTTTACAAGTAATTACATCTATTTTCATGTGGTCACATTTTTATCACTGTGAAATTCATGTGACTATGATCTCACGTGTCCATAAGGGTAGATGCTAATGTCTTCGCTTTTCCTGTGACTCACTTTCTGTCCCACAGAATCAGCCAAAAAATACATTAAACTGTCATTAACAACTATTCATTCCATCTCATATCTGCTGAACTCTGGATGAATTCGGCCAATAAGTGGAGCAAGACACCTCCTTTGGCATTACGAATTGGCCTGGCATCCGCCTCCGGCCTACGCCTGGCCTGCTTGACCTCACTTCAGCTGTGATGTGATTAGCAGTGCCCAACTCTCTGTTTACTACACAACCACCAAACAGCAGCTCGAACACAAAAGCAGGCTCTGTTTGGCCTCCTAGTTTGATTACATTAGGCTATCTGTAAATGCACGAGTTTAGATCAGTGCAGCCTGAACAGCTGACGCCTGAAGGAGAATATCCCCTTTTATATCCTCCATTTTATTTCACCTCTGTGTAACCAGGGCAGTCACACCAGGACTTCAAAATGTGTTTTATCTGACTTAGCCCAGGTCAAGACAGCAGAAATATGACATAGAAGGTTAAAAATAGAACAAATAATGATATAAAGAAAGTAGTACATTAAAAAAATAAATACTAAGGAGGTCAATTAATAAGAGCAAATGTAATAATGCAATCAAGTGATGGTTAACTTGTTTCTGCAAGTCACTGTGCAAAACAAAACTGCTTTAACTACCTCTGGATCTTCTTAAAATGGAAATTCCACTCATTTTTTCAAAAAAGCTGCATAAATACATTGTTACTATGCCAACTCAGTTATTCAGAGTGATTTGATGTGGAATGCACAATCCTAGAAAAACTTACCAACTCAGAATTAGTCTGAACTGTTCACAATATTGGTGATAGGAACCAGACGTCCAAAGAGCAATGCCTCTAAAAAGCTCCCTCACAGACAGTTTTTACACAAAATGGTTATGAATAAGCTGCCTGATGCCCAAGATATTGTTTTCTGATACTTTTGAGAAGGTTTTAGACTGAAATGTCTTTTTTTAACTCTTTTCATAGTGGAGAAGTACATGCATTGTGTACTAAGGCAAGACAGTACCACTGTTTTACCACCATCAACATTCCATATGAAACCTCAGAAGACTCGTGTAGGTTCACTGGTGGTTTTGGATGGCAAATAAAATGTCTATATCGGTGTTGAGGTCATGGTGACCCCTGGTTCCTATCACCACCACTGTAAAGAAAGACTCTGTAAAGTTTCTCTCCGATGAATTATTTCATATCAAATCACTTTGAATGACTGTTAACATCTGAACGATGCAGAAATTTTGCAACTCCCATTTAAGGGTTTTAATTTTGGGACACATTGGATTCCCATTGGGTCTAGAACCCGAGAAGTGCATCATTTATGGCACCAAGGCACCACGCCCTTTTTTCAAAATGGGATCTTCACTACTAAAATCAAGACAAAACTCCAGGAATCAAGTCACAAAATCTAGGCAGACAGTAACCAAGTTCTCAGATCTTGAATGAGTGACCGTCTGCTGGACATTCTTCAACTTTTTTAAGACAAAATCCAGAGTTTAAGTCAACAACCAAGGCTAAAAACCAAGTCCTTGAAAAGAAGAGATGCTGTGATGCAGTGAATTTACTAAATCACTTCTTTCTAATCCTGGTCCTGCTGAGTGTGGGGTTCTCCAGATGTTAGTGTTCTACTGCTCTGAAACTCTGTTTACTGCACAACCATCAAAGAGCAGCTTAAACACAAGTGTTTTACCACCATCAACATAAAGCTCAGAAGACTCGTGTAGGTTCACTGGTGGTTTTGGAGAGTAAATAAATGGCTATATTTGTGTTGTAGTCATGGCAACCCCTGGTTCCTATCACCACCACTGTGTAGAAAGCCATTAAGTTTCTCTCCAATGAATTATTTCATATCAAATCACTCTAAATTACTTTGTTAACATCTGAACGCTGCAGAAATATTGGAATTCCCATTTATGGGCTTAAATATTGGAACACATTGGATTCCCATTGGGTCTAGAACCCAGAAGTGCATCACTTAAGGCACCACACCCTTTTTCAAAATGGGATCTTCACTACTAAAATCAAGACAAAACTCCAGGAATCAAGTCACAAAATCTAGGCAACCAACCAACAGCAACTAAGTTCTTAGATACTGAATAAGTGACCATCTGCTGGACATTCTTCAACTTCTTCTAAGACAAAATCCAGAGTTCAAGTCAACAACCAAGGCTAAAAACCAAGTCCTTGAAAAGAAGAGGTGCTACGATACAGTGAATTTTTCAAATTAGTTTTTCCAAGACTGTCTTTCTAATCCTGGTCCTGCTGAGTGCTGGGGTTCTCCAGATGTTAGTGTTCTACTGCTCTGAAACTCTGTTTACTACACAACCACCAAACAGCAGCTCAAACACCACCATCAACATTCCATATAAAGCTCAGAAGACTCGTGTAGGTTCACTGGTGGTTCTGGAGAGTAAATAAATGGCTATATTTGTGTTGTAGTCATGGCGACCCCTGGTTCCTATCACCACCACTGTGAAGAAAGCCATTAAGTTTCTCTCCAATAAATTATTTCATATCAAATCACTTTAAATGACTTAACATCTGAACAATGCAGAAATCTGGGAACTTCCATTTAAGGGTCTTAAATATTGGAACACATGGATTCCCATTGGGTCTAGAACCCAGAAGTGCATCATTTAAGGCACCAAGGCACCACGCCCTTTTTTCAAAATAGGATCTTCCCTACCAAAATCGAGACTAAAAGTCAGGAATCGAGACACAAATCTAGGCAAACAGTAACCAAGTTGTCAGATCTTTAATGAGTGACCATCTGCTGGACATTCTTCAACTTTTTTAAGACACAATCCAGAGTTTAAGTCAACAACCAAGGCTGAAAACCAAGTCCTTGAAAAGAAGAGATGCTGTGATACAGTGAATTTACTAAATCACTTCTTCCAAGACTCTCTTTGTAATCCTGGACCTGCTGAGTGCTGGTTTTAACCTCATGAAGGCCTTGCAAATGAGCTGAGGGGATTGAGTCGAGTTTGTTGGAGCAGGGAAAGCACTACAAACATGCAGATTCCATGACCATAATTGGGGAAAAATGCAGCTGCAGCATCAGTTGCTCTTAAGAGCTGCAAAGCATTGAAATAAACAGGATTTTCATTGGGGGCTCAAACAATTCTACTCAAGTGCATCACTGAATGCTCTGAGGTGCCACTCCCTGTTTTTTCTGAATGGAAACAGACGACCTATAGCATCGCACCGTGTTATCCAGTTCTGATCTTGCTATAGAGTCAATGCACTAATAAACCCATTTAAAAATCATGGAAAGCTGATAATGAATCTAGACTAATCACAAAATCTACACAAGATGGTTCTTCAAGGGTTCTTTAGCAAAGCCAATGCTTATATGGTTCTTTGCATGGTGAAATGGTTCTTCAGATTGGAGACAGAGTTGTATGTGTATGTCTATATAGACCATTTTTGAAAATAGTTCTATGTAGCACCAAAAAGGGCTCTGCTACTGTTACAAGCTTGACACTGTAACAATAGCAGAACCCATTTTGGTGCTAAATAGAACCACACAACACATTTTCCATCAATCTGAAGAACCATTTCACCAAGCAAGGAACTGTTTAAGCATGCAAATGGTTCTTTGATTATTCATGGTTCTATCTAGAGCCACTTTCTTTACCAAAGAACCCTTGAAGAACCTTCTTTAGGCTAAAAACAACCACATTCTTAGACTTTTAAAAGCCTTGCAAGCACATTTCAGTGAAATATCCCTGACTTCTTCTAAAACAACGTTTCAGTCAATAGACTGTGCTGTGAATCAGCTTTTTTTGGAGCAGTGCAGGCACTGAAAGGTGCAGTGCAGCAGAACTTGCTGCTTTAAAAGCTTTTCTTATGGGAAAATGAAACCAAACTGGCCCAGAGCGATTAAGCAGAGTTTAAACAGGACGGTAAGAGCTCAAATCTGATACTCACGCTCATGGTTTCTTCTCTGTTAGCTGAGTGCTGAGCGGTAAACTGCCTGAGGAGGAGACCCTCATGCGCTGTTGGACGCCTTTAAACTGCGCCGGAGAAGGGGGGGCGTGGCCAGCGCCCTCCAGCCAATGAAATTGTTCCTACACAGACCTACTCAGGCCGTTCTGGAGAGATGAGCTCGATGGAGATCACTGGCTATCAATCACCTTATACTGTAATGTTTATTTGAGGTGTAAATGTTTCTGTAGCTGCACTAATATGATGAGAATATTACAGGCGTAACTGACCATCTTAAAGGGCTGAAATGAACATTGTTTACTGTTGTGAAGTCCATTCTGACTCCTGGTGACCGTTTGAATAGTGTTTCTTTCTGTTTGGGAGTTCAGCTTCTGTCTTAATGGCTTGTTCACATTTTTCTTTGGTCGTCTACGTCCATCTTGTTGCTGGCCGTCCTCTTTCCCAAGCATAACTGTCTTTTCAATGAATTGATTAATCTAGAGCTTCACTTGGTTGTCCAGGCTTCAGTCAGAGAGGCTTGATTTGGTCAAAGATTCATTTGTTTATTTGGTTTGCCGTCCAAGAGACTCTCAGAAGTCTTCACCAGCACCAAAGTTCAAAAGCATCGATATTTTTCCTGTAGCTCTGTTTCGATTGTCAAGCTCTCACATCCATAAAGAACCACAGGGAAACCCATAGACTGGACACTTATGATCTAACTAAGTCATGGCCACAACTTAGCTATCTCATTCCCATGCCTAACTAAGTCATGCCCATGCCTTACTAAGTCGTGGCCACAACTGTCTAGTTCCCAGGTCCTACTAAGTTATAGCCACGATTTATCTTGTTCCCATGACTTAACTAAGCCATGGCTAAAACTTAACTATCTTGTTCCTATGCCTTACTAAGTCATGGCCACAAATGAACTATCTAGTTCCCACAACTTACAACGTTATAGCCACAATTTAAGTATTTTGCTCCTACAACTTAACTATCTCGTTCATATGCCTTACTAAGTCATGGCCACAAATTAACTGTCTCATTCCCATGCCTAAGTCATTCTTACGCCTTACAAAGTCATGGCCACAACTTAACTATCTTGTTCCTATGCCTTACTATGTTTTAGCCAGGATTTAACTATCTTGTTCCCATGACTTAACTAAGTCATGGCCACAACTTAACTATCTTGTTCCTATGCCTTACTATGTTTTAGCCACGATTTAACTATCTTGTTCCCATGACTTAACTAAGTCATGGCCACAACTTAACTATCTCATTCCTATGCCTTACTAAGTCATGGCCTCAAATGAACTATCTAGTTCCCACAACTTACAAAGTTATAGCCACAATTTAAGTATTTTGCTCCTACGACTTAACTATCTCGTTCATATGCCTTACTAAGTCATGGCCACAAATTAACTGTCTCATTCCCATGCCTAAGTCATTCTTACACCTTACAAAGTCATGGCTTCATCTTAACTATCTTGTTCCTATGCCTTACTAAGTTTTAGCCATGATTTAACTATCTTGTTCCCATGATTTAACTAAGTCATGGCCACAACTTAACTGTCGCATTCCCATGCCTTTTTTATTCATGGCCACAAATTAACTATCTAGTTCCCACAACTTATGAAGTTATAGCCACAATTTAGGTATTTTGTTCCCACAACTTAACTATCTCATTCCTAAACCTTAATAAGACATGGCCTCAGCTTAATTATTTCCTTCCTACGCTTTACTCAGTCATGGCCATGAATTATTATCTCATTCCAATGCCTTACTAAGTTCTAGCCTTGACTTAACTATGTCATTCTTATGCTTTACTAAGTCATGGCCACAAATTAGCTGTCTCTACTTCTACAACTTCATCATCAGTGATGAGGTTGTTGTTGTTATAAGCTTTGTTTTCTTCATATTAAGCTCCCATGTTTTCACTCTGTTCTTTAACTTTCTTTATAAGCTTTTTCATATATATATATATATATATGTATGTATGTATCCTCTCACACCAGCGCAACACACACTAACACACTACCACCACGTCAGTGTTACTGCAGTGCTGAGAATGACCCACCACCCAAATAGTACCTGCTCTGTGAGGGTCCATGGGGGTCCTGACCACTGAAGAACAGGGTAAAAGGGGGCTAACAAAGTATCAGAGAAACAGATGGACTACAGTCTGTAACTGTAGAACTACAAAGTGCACCTATATAGTAAGTGGAGCTGATAAAATGGACAATGAGTGTAGAAACAAGGAGGTGGTCATAATGTTATGCCTGATCGATGTGTTTAACATAAATCCTTTCAGTGTTCAGTGTGTCCATCATTTGCCTTCCATTCTCCTGTGCAAGGATAATTTTCTGCACATTTAAAGTTCAGTTTTAGAAGTTGGTTGTCATCTGTGCTTCTCACCATCCAAATAATACAAATACAAATTCATAAAACCTCAGATGTCCAGTTCTGGTGCTGTAGTGGAAATTCTCTTCTATGTTTGTCCTTTTCTCAGTGAGGTTCTTCTTGACAGCTACACATCCTTTCAGACCCACAGCGCTGAGTCGTCTTCTCACAGTGGAAGGATGGGCAGAAACACCTGTGGATGTTTTCAGATCTGAAGCAGCTTGATTTTCTCCTCTCTCTCAAAGATGAAAGCTTTAAGTGCTGTTTATCTGATGGGGGCAGTTTTGGGGGTCTACCAGGTCTTCCAGGTGGTTGTTAGGAGGCTTGTTTTCTCTGCAGCTTTTTGTGTTCGTTTTTAAACGAGAACTTCACTTATTTTCCATTGACTTTCCCCTTCGTGATGCACCATGGGCCCCACTGTGATAGCCCCCTAGTACTGGCTTTAGCCTACTCTGCCCATCTCTGGTAATGCATGGCTTTCGCCCATAGTAGAAGTAAGAGACAGATTTACGGTTCATGATGCGCACTTAGCGCTTGTTAATCAATGATATTACTAACATTGATGGCACACTTGTTAGCAAAGTGTCAGAATAGTTGGCATTTTTTGGATTTAGGACAGCAGGGAGTGGCAGCTCTAATTGGCCCAGCCGGACAGATTGATGGTCATGGTATCCTGGCAGTGGGGTTTGTTTACTGATCCCTATTAGCCTGTGCTGGCCGTGGTCTGCAAATATTTAGTGGTTAAATTGGCTAAATTCTGTGTCACACTGACGAGGCCTAATAGCTGAAATGGTTTTCCTTTTACAACACTGTGCGAGATTCCACTGAAGGGGAACGCTTGCCCAGTGCGTGTGCCTCAGACACTGTCACAAGACAGGCATATGAGAGCAAAGGCCATGAGAATTACAGGTTAACTCTAATTACTGTATTGTGTCACTGTGTACCCTGATATTAACATCTGACAGAGTTTGTGCAACAGACTGTTTCCCAATCAGCTCTTAAGTCATTGTTTAATAGCAAGCAAGGGGAAAATACAGCTGTTGTAGCTTTTTCCATCTTGAACACATCTTTCGTCAGTTAGTCCAGAACGCTGCAGCCAGAGTCCTCACAAGAACTAGAAGGTTTGACCATATCAGCCCAGTTTTATCAAACCTGCACTGGTTGCCAGTTCAATTCCACATTGAGTACAAAAGTCTTTAACTGACATATAAAGATCTAAACGACCTGAATGAACTTCTCTTTTATTATGAACCATCACGCCTACTAAGATCACAAGGCGCTGGCTTACTATTAGTACCTACAATTAATAAAGTTACATTGGGGGGGTGGAGCCTTCTCATGCAAAGCCCCCCCAGCTTTGAAATTATCTTCCAGTCAGTGTTCGGGACTCAGACACAGCCAGTCCAGGCTAAAAACCCAGCTGAGCCTTTAGTAATTAGTTTTCCTGTTAGATAAAAGGTGCAGATCTGGGGTTCGTGGTCATGGTGTATTATGGTAAACTGGGAGTGCTGGTGCCATCTCCCCGCTGCCTCATGCACTCACTCAGGTTTGTTGACAGGGGAGTGGAGGGGCGCTGACATCTCAGGGAGCCTCATGTCTCTGTTACCTTCTGGCTCTCCCTCTTAGTGAGGCTGTAATATCTAGACCTGACGGAGTCTCTGCTGCTCTGTTAACACTGTAATCTGTGATCCGTCACTCTTTACAGAACCGACTCTCTGTGTGTTTCTTTTTCTTTGCCGAGTTGAACAGCTGCCCATCCTCGATGTACAACGCTGTGCAAACCTCAAATGCATGAACTGACCCTTCTGATGATACTGCTGCTGCTGCTGCTGCTGCTGCTGCTGCTGCTGCTGCACAGACTCAAGCCATCTAATTATAACCATTGCTTCACCTGCTTTTCCCCCGTTTCGGAATTTTAATAATACCAATCATTTTTTATATAGTATATTATATTTGGGGGTGACATGGTGGCGCAGTGGGTAGCGCTGTCGCCTCACAGCAAGACTGACCTGGGTTCGATTCCCGGCCGGGTGACCAGGGTCATTTCTGTGTAGAGTTTGCCTGTTCTCCCCGTGTCTGCGTGGGTTTCCTCTGGGTACTCCGGGTTCTTCCCACAGTCCGAAAACATGCAGTCAGACCAATTGGACATGCTAAAATTGTCCCTAGGTGTGACTGTGTATGTCTGTCTGCCCTGCGATGGACTGGTGACCTGTCCAGGGTGTGTCCTGCCTTCCGCCCAATGACAGCTGGGATAGGCTCCAGCACCCCACTGTGACCCAGAAGGATAAGCGGTTTAGATGATGTATGTATGTATTATATTTGGCAGTCGCTCTTATCCAGAGCGACTTACAATTTTGATCATTTCACACAGGTAGACGAAAGTAGTGTTAGGAGTCTTGCCCAAGGACTCTTACACAGTCTATACAGTCTACAGTGTAGAAGGCAGAGGTGTTAAACACTACACTATACCAGCCACAGTAATAGTTTATACTAACGCTGTTTGCTATCCAGTGTCGACCAGAGGAGGATGGGTTCCCCTTTTGAGTCTTGGTTTCTTCCTCCTGCTCTTAGGGAGTTATCCACTGGCGACGCTCATGGGGGCTCAGACCCGGATTTTTCTGTAAAGCTGCTTTGTGACAAGGCCTGTTGTGAAAAGCGCCATATAAATAAAGTTTGACTTGACTTGAACACTCATAACTTTGCTGTT